CATTTTAGACTTGAACATCTGAGAAGCACAGAACCTTGAAATCTCTGCAGTCTGCCTGCTGATCCTGTGGAGCTTGGTCTGGTTTTAGTCACAAGGAAGGTAATTTTATTTTTGACCAGCTGTCTCCATGCAAAGTTTGTTCCTAGTCTTATGCCAGAATAGAATCCTCTGTGTAAATCATTGTGTTGCCTGTGTACTTGGGAGAGTCTGTGTTCCAGATTCCTGCTTGGTTTCTACATAGTGATGGGAATCACAGTCTCTATGGGAAAAATCCTACCATGCAGAGGAGTGGCAAGTGGCCCCTGAGAACCTGACTTCTCAGTTAGTCTGCTGTTGTCATCAACCCCAGCAGCAAAACTGCTTGCTCTCATCCAGAAGGGAGAGTGTTGCAACAAGAATCTCATTCTAAAATGATTACAAAATCCAAACCATTAAGATGACATTTGCAGCTTGATGCCAAGCTGTCTTTCAGGACCTAGAAGTGGATTGTGTGCATGGGAAATCTGGGTCAAGAGGGATGCAACTTTCTCACCTAGTTTCTCTAGCTTTTGGTGGGCAGTTTTCCCTTTTACTGTAGGTGCTGGGAGTAAGATTAGATAAGACATGGCAAGTTCCAGCTTCTGTAAAGGTGGCCCCTGTTTTTATTGTTGTTCTTCTGGGACTTGAACAACGTCTCCACTGCTGCCAGGATGAGTGGGGACTTGCTATGAATGTCCTTTTCTTCCTCCAGTGACCCTGTCATTGTTACTGGAAGGCAGGAGACTTCCTGCTCCACCCTACTGGGTGCTGACACTAAGCTGTAATGGATTTTTTTTTTTTTAGCTGTCTTGTAGGTGCACAATGTAAAGGGAGATTTCCTACCTTATGTAGCTGGTAAACAAAATTAAGAAGCCAGCTGTGCTAATTTCTAGTTGATTTCTTTCCTAGGTATCTTGAGATACTAATCAAAGTGAGCACTAAGTTAATTTCCTGTGAGAAGAAATCAGGCATTTCCTGGACTGGGCAAAACTAGAAACTCAGCACTACAGCTCAACTCTGGAAATGCTTGAACCATGAAATCCCCATTCCTGAAAAGAGATCCTCTCTATTTCATAAGCCTGCGAGGGGTAACTAGGAAGGGCCTGACAGTTCCTGCAGAAGTTTTCCTGCTATGAGTGATGAAGATCTGGAAGAATGATCTTTGGGAAGCAGAGGTATCTAGGCAAGAGAAGGAAAGAGATTTATTTTTTTTTTCCTCAGCCTGGGGTAGGAGGAGTAAGGAGTTGTATGAATAGGGAACAGTTATTTTATGAACAGTATCAGTGTTTTCACTGCATGTACCTGGAAAGAGGAATAGGATCTTACACAGCATGTATGGAGAGCAGTGAATGAATGGTATGGCAGCATTTGTGTTACCTTTTAGAAGGAGTCACTACAAAAGCTTCCATCACATCTGGGAGGAGTGTTTCAGAATGGTATGTATGTGCTGGGGTGCTGCCTTCAGACTCTCAGAGCCTTAGGGGGGGGTATGCAGTGAGATTGTTGGCTCTCAACCCCTCCCTGGGCAATGAGTCTGGTAGAACTAAAGCTGTGCTCACCTGCAAGCAGAGGTGGATTTCAGAAGCTAAGCCATGTGGAAGTTAGCTGCTCCAGCAGATCACTGCTGTAGCTTTTGATTATCCCTTTTGCAAAGCTTCCCAGGCTTTATCTTATTTGGGCTGTAGAAGTGCAGGGCTCTGCTCCCTCAGCCTGATGATGGTGAGAGGGATGCAGAGGGTGACCAAAAGGACATGTGTGTTCTTGTCTTGTTTGTTCTTCTTTGTGGTCCAGAAACATGTCAGCAGTCCTGCCCTGGCTCTCAGATCTTTCAATAGCTGAACTTCCTGGTTTCTCTATGAATTGTCTTGCTTTCCCAGAATGGTATAGTAGGGGTCATAAAAAAAAAAAATAATAAAAAAATCAGATACATATAATGTTTTGATGCTTCTGAAGTGGAAGGGAATGGATGGGTAAGAGGGCTGGGATAGAAGAAGGCTCTGTCAGTAGTGATTTAAAGGCCTCTGTTAGAGCTATAGATGCTCCTGCATAAAATACAGATATGAAATGGGTTTTGACTTTGAATTTTCTTGTCTATGTAGACAAACTGAGGAGACAGTGTGGATGTGGGGGGTCAGGATCCTCTCCCATTTCCTGCCATGCTTTATAAAAGCTGGAGCACTGAAAACCTGTCCACCTTCCTGCTCCCATCTTCTGTGGTTAACGAGGTTGGGTTTTGTATTTTGTATATATTTGTAGATACTTGTTCTTCATCCCATGTGTTACTGTCCCTTCCCTTTTCTAGTTTTAATGTTCAACTTTTAGGTCTCTCTTTCTTATTCCCCTTTTACCTTCTCTTGGGACAGTGGAGGGGGGTAGCAGAGAGCAGTTCTGCCCTCTGGTTTTTGGTTTGCCTTGACCATTAAACCAAGACATGGGTTTTCTATGGCTTTTGAAGGGTGTGCTCAAAGCCTCATCTGAAATCTGAAGGACAGAACAAGCATTGCCATGAGGCCTCTGCTTCCCAGAACCTTTTGATTTCCTTTCTGACACTTGAATCCCAGCTGAGATGAACTCTAGGTAGGAGTGGCTGGTCAGGGAAGTTAATTCTTCTTTTAAGTATGTCTCCCCTTTCCTCTACTTCTGAAGTAAGACAAAGAGCAGCTGTTACAGGGTTTCAGTACTGATTCTGTTAGAGGGCAAGTAGCTAATCTTTCCTTGGAGATTAATGCAAAGAGGGAAGCCAAAACTACTTAAAAGGAAGGAAAAGTCATTATATCAAGACACTTTGTTCTTTTTTCCAGTAGTTCTAGGAAATATAACTATTGTATGTAAATCCTTTTCCTTGCCCCAGTGGTTTGAGAACCACACAAATGCAGAATTATCATCTGGCTCTGTAAAAACAGGAATAAACTCATGACAACTATGTTCTGTCTGTGGGTTTTAGCACTTCTAGTGGTGCTGGTAACCTCCTTCATCCCTGAAATAAAATCCCTACATAAAACGGTAAACTTACAAATATTGGTCTGGCTGGGGTAGTGTAAGTCTGTCCTGTGAGCTTCCTTTAAATGTGACTGTCTTGCTTCACAGTCTGCTGATGATAAATACCAGTTCTGATGTTTTCTGACAATTCATTTGTCAGGGAAGAGAACAACAAACTTAGTTCACAGTCTCAGTGGTAGTAAATTATTCGCAGGAGGCCTCATTCGTTTGTCTCAGTGACTTGAAATTGGGCCCCAACTAATTCCAGTCTTGCTGTGCCAGCGCTTACCGTGAGTTTCCCAATGCCCTTGGAAAAGCAGAACAAAACAGTTTAATGCCTGCTTCTGGTTTCCTTTCAGGTGAATCATGATTCCAGTCACTGAATTACGCTACTTTGCTGACACTCAGCCCGCATACCGCATCCTGAAGCCATGGTGGGATGTCTTCACAGACTACATTTCCATCGTGATGCTGATGATTGCAGTGTTTGGTGGGACGCTTCAGGTCACCCAGGACAAAATGATTTGTTTGCCCTGTAAATGGGTTACCAAAGACTCTTGCAATGACTCAGTCAGAGGTTGGACATTTTCAACCCCAGAGCGTATCTACTATAACTCCAGTCCTGTTCCCCCTACGGATGCAGGGCCTAAAGGGATCAAATATGATTTGGACCGGCACCAGTACAACTACGTGGATGCGGTGTGCTATGAGAACCGTCTTCACTGGTTTGCCAAGTATTTTCCTTATCTGGTGCTGCTACATACTCTCATCTTCCTGGCTTGTAGCAACTTCTGGTTCAAATTCCCAAGGACCAGCTCCAAGCTGGAGCATTTTGTGTCTATTTTGCTTAAGTGTTTTGACTCTCCATGGACAACAAGGGCATTATCTGAGACAGTGGTGGAGGAAAGTGATACCAAGCCAGCATTTGGGAAAATGAATGGCTCCATGGACAAGAAATCCTCCACAGTCAGTGAGGATGTGGAAGCTACTGTTCCCATGCTGCAGAGAACAAAGTCTCGAATTGAGCAAGGAATTGTGGACCGGTCTGAGACTGGTGTCTTGGACAAAAAGGAAGGTGAACAAGCCAAAGCACTCTTTGAGAAAGTGAAGAAGTTCCGCACACATGTGGAAGAGGGAGATATAGTTTATCGCCTGTACATGAGACAGACCATCATCAAAGTGATCAAGTTCATTCTGATCATCTGCTATACTGTTTATTATGTCAACAACATAACGTTTGATGTTGACTGTAAAGTGGACATTGAGAGCTTGACTGGCTACAGGATGTACCGCTGTGCTCACCCTTTGGCCACTCTCTTCAAAATCTTAGCATCTTTCTACATCAGTTTGGTGATATTCTATGGCTTGATCTGCATGTACACACTCTGGTGGATGCTGAGGCGATCGCTCAAGAAATACTCCTTTGAGTCCATCCGGGAGGAGAGCAGTTACAGTGACATTCCTGATGTGAAAAATGACTTTGCTTTTATGCTCCACCTGATCGATCAGTATGACCCCCTGTACTCCAAGCGCTTTGCTGTCTTTCTGTCAGAGGTGAGTGAGAACAAACTGCGGCAGCTGAACCTCAACAACGAGTGGACTCTGGAGAAGCTGCGCCAGAGGATCACCAAGAACTCCCAGGATAAGTTGGAGCTGCATCTCTTCATGTTGAGTGGTATTCCTGATACGGTCTTTGACCTCATTGAGCTGGAGGTCTTGAAGCTGGAGCTTATCCCTGATGTCACTATTCCCCCAAGCATTGCTCAGCTCACCAGCCTTAAGGAACTGTGGCTCTACCACACAGCTGCCAAAATTGAGGCTCCAGCCCTTGCCTTCTTGAGGGAGAATTTGAAATCTCTTCACATCAAGTTCACAGACATCAAGGAGATTCCTCTTTGGATTTATAGCCTGAAGACACTAGAGGAGCTTCATCTGACAGGAAACTTGAGTGCTGAAAACAATCGGTACATTGTCATAGATGGATTGAGGGAGCTGAAAAGGCTGAAGGTGTTAAGGTTGAAGAGTAACCTGACCAAACTGCCACAGGTGGTGACAGATGTTGGGGTGCATCTTCAGAAGCTTTCCATCAACAACGAGGGCACCAAACTCATTGTTCTCAACAGCCTTAAGAAAATGGTCAACTTGACAGAGCTTGAGCTGATCCGCTGTGACTTGGAACGCATTCCTCACTCTATCTTTAGCCTCCACAATCTGCAGGAGATAGACTTGAAGGACAATAACCTAAAGACTATTGAAGAAATCATCAGCTTCCAACACTTACATCGTCTCACTTGCCTTAAATTGTGGTACAACCACATTGCCTATATCCCCATGCAAATAGGCAACCTCACCAATTTAGAGCGCCTTTACCTGAACCGTAACAAGATAGATAAGATCCCCACCCAGCTCTTCTATTGCCGAAAACTGCGATATCTGGATCTCAGCCACAACAACCTGACTTTCATACCACCAGATGTTGGACTTCTTCAAAACCTACAGAGCCTTGCTGTGACAGCCAACAGGGTAAGTGAGCAAGGAGCTGAGCCCTCCTGTGTAAGAATGATTAAACATGCTACAATGGTGTGTGAAATACTCCTGGCGCTGCCTTTCTGTTTAAATTCTCAAGATTCTCTCTGAGGGATTTACCTAAGGCATTGCAAGTAACTCCAGGGGCCAGCCTTTCTTTGAACAGCCAGTGTTCTGTAGGTTTCATCTCTTAAGAGTGAAACTGCTTTGAAGTGGCAGTTCAAGGCTATTTAGAAATCCTGCCTGTCAGTTGTTTCTCTGCAGTTGGAAGCTTGTAGCCTCTAGCTTGATGTCAGGTTTGGGCTTGAAAAAGACCTCTGAGGAAACTGGAGTCTTCCTCTATAAGTATGCACTTAAATCTGTGGTGTGGGACTTACAGCTTTGCTTATAGTTCTTTGCATTTCCAGGGAATACTCCCTAGTTTGGTCTTGTAAGTATGCACTTTTTTGAGAGAAGTTGGATGGGGACAGGCTTAGGAGAAATGGTTCTTAATCACTTAAAATCCATTGTCTCATTCCACAAAGGTGACTTTGGAGAGAGCAGAGCAATCTTCTGCACTGTCCTTGCTTGGGGCAGAGTGAACTAAACCAGGTTTATCAGTTGGCAGTCAGATGTGAAGGTGTGAACTGTGGCATTTCCTTGACTTTCAGAGGGGAGGAAATATGCTGGCACCTTGCTGGGCCTCAGGAAGGTGACTCTGGGTTTCCTGGTGTACTCCTGGCTGGGCCAAGCTGGGAGCTGTCTCAGTCTAAGTGGTTAGAGGGGGTGACCCAATGTGCTGTGCTCCCCCATTACCACAAGTCGTTCTTTGGCTTGTGTTGGAGAGCATTTACTTGCTTAAAGCAAACTGTACCCGTGTTTTTTTCCTGAATCTTTATTCTTATGTTCAGAATGAAGGAGATTTCATTTTCCACGTATCCCAAAGATGAGTCTGTGACTGCACAGACTGGTGTGCTGAGATGTGCTGATCTGAACAAAGCTCTCATTCATTCTGTCTGCAAATTCCTTGGAGGCTCTTTTTCTCTTGGAGTTTATTACCACCTGTAGTTGCAAAAGGTTTTAATATAACTACAAATTGCAAACAGATCTAATTAGTGGCTTCTGTGTTCTTCTGGGAACATGAAGTAGAACTGACCTGCAGCAGTTCTAGTTTTCACTGTTATTTATGAAGATCCTTTCTTCTTTTGGCAAGATGTTACCCGTAACTGAACACTGTCAAATTGCCCATGGAGAGGCAGGCAGAGCAGTTCAAGTACAGATTGGCTTTTCAAAGGGGAAATGCTCTCAAGTAAAGTATTTAATTGCTAAGGCAGTTCAGTATTACACAAGGTTCCTAAAACTCCAGCCAGCATTTTGAATTCAGTGTCTGAACGTTCAAGTTAATGTTGTGCTGCTGAAGAGCCCTGGCTGACCAGCAGCAGCCCCTCAGGAATCCCAGTTTAAGCACTGCTCACTGGGCTTTCCTAGCACTGGCAGCCTGTGCCTCTGTTTGGATGGGTGGCTCAAGCTCTAGTAAACTTCATGATGTGCACTCATAATTTCCTGTTAAGTTGAAAGCCAAAATATTTTCTCAAGGCTGATCTAGGCAATTTCTGTGGATGGCATTAAGCAAAGATGAGGGAGTTGTAAAGATTCTTAAGCTACTGTTCAGAACTTGGACAATTCTGTACCATTTATCTTCTGGCAAGCTTCCTAGCATAGCTTCCTGAGGGTTAATCTGCAATGTGTCCTCTGCAGTCTTGGGGTGGAGCCTCTCTTATATGAAAAGGAGTTAGAGGCAGCTTCATTTTCTGCAGCACAGTGTGGCACCACCCATTTCTCTCTGAAAAAAATTGCTAATGCAGCAGGAAGGCTGGAGCAATCTTCCCTCCAGTGTGTTCTTGAAGCAGAAGGTGTTGAGGACCCAGTGAAACAGCTAAACTGTTTGTGTCCTCTACAAGTGCTTGGGCAAGGCCACAGCTGCCCTGGGGCTCTGACAGCCTAGTTACTTACAGTAAACAGTGACTGCTAGAAACACAAGGACTTGGTAGGCTGGCATTTCCCGAGGCCAGGAATGATCTGGAATGGCCTCTCCTAGCTCAGCAGTCTTAGTAAATAGAGACTTCTGGAGTTGGCTAGTACCCATGTGCCATTCTGGGAAGCAGGGTGTATTATAGCACATTGTTTCCTTCCTAAACCAATACTTGTCCCTTAAATAACACTATTACTTTCAAGAGCCTGTGATCATTTGATTGCATGTTGCTGTTTGCACACACTCAACAGGACCAGTAACAATGACTGAATTGAACTGTTTTTAATTGGTCTGGTCTCATCTTGGCTTTTCCTTGGGCTCCATCTCATTCAGAACTGATTACAGTCTAATTTAGCCACGAAGGGATGTCATGCATAATTTAAGTTTTAAAAAGGACACAGTTGCATTTAAAGGCAAATGGTAGCCTCCAAGATGAGACTTTATATTAAGGGAGAATACTGAATTGCCATGTTTAGTTCGTAGCCCACTGTTTGTTAAACCTTAGCCATATGGTTTTCCTAGAAATTCTTTGGGAGGATTGGACTATTAAAAGGCTTTAATAGACATAAGCCTTACTAAATTAGTGACCCATAGATACATGCAGGTGGTGGTGGGAAAGCTAACACCTGGTGGCTTGATTGTTGTTGCATTTTGGCACTGCCAAAAAACCCAGTGTTTTGGAGCCTAGAAAATTCTTGCAGCATTTCAAAGCTCTACAGTAATGATGAAAGAATAGGTTGAGTTCTCAGGACCTGGAGGTCATACCCACATAGCTTCTTGCTCTTACTGCAGCAAAGCTAGGAGTACTGAGTCCAGTCTTGATGGTGATCAGTAGAATACCAATTGTACAGTAGCTACTTAAAGGAAAGGGACTGTGATCCTGTGACTGTATGAAGGGTTTGGGATGGAAAGGAGCAGGTACTGATGGGAGGATGTGACAATATAGGCCAGCTGTGAGTGGGTTTCTGGTCCTCTGATCCTGTCCTTGGTGAGGCCTTTTGTTTTAGCCACCATCACTGGTCATCTTTTGTAACTAATGCAATAGTGAGTCTGAAAGAGGAATCCACATAGTCGTGGTGTAGTGACTGCTGCTTTGGGTACAGTCCTGAGGGTGGAAAACAGGAGCTCACTCAAGGGAAAAGTGCTCTGTAAACCTTGAAGCACTGTGTGGGCTTGGTGGTCTCTTACGAACATGTGTCCCGTTTGCTGGTGACTTTGCCTATGCTTGATCTCTTTTTCTTTTTTTCTTAGATTGAAAGTCTCCCACCAGAGCTGTTCCAGTGCAGGAAGCTGAGAACCTTGCACCTGGGAAACAATGTGCTGCAGTCACTTCCATCCCGGGTTGGAGAGCTGACAAATCTGTCACAGATAGAGCTGCGAGGGAACCGCTTGGAGTGCCTGCCTGTGGAGCTGGGGGAGTGTCCTCTGCTGAAACGCAGTGGGCTGGTGGTGGAGGAGGATCTGTTCAACACACTGCCCTTGGAAATCAAAGAGCGGCTGTGGAGGGCAGACAAAGAGCAAGCTTGAACCCTTGGAAAAAGGGAAAAGCTTCTGACCAACTAGAAGGAAACAAAAGGCCATTCCAGTCCCCTGTTCCCCACATTGTCCCCTTTCTTCCCTCTGATCACCACCAGACTAGCCAAGGAGTCCCTGAACAATCACAACTCTGAATGAGGTGGCTTCTTGCCTCAGATGCAGGATGGGGGAAGCTTGGAATGAGGATCAAAACAGATTAATTGGCCTCTGAGCAAGGGCCAGTGGGAGTAAGAGGTGTTGCTGTTCTTCTGGACTGGAAGTGGGCAAGGTGGATGGTGCTGGTGAGAAAAAATGACCTTTGAATGGAGGAGAAAATGACATGCAGGGATTGCTGCATTGCTCCAAATGGGGCTTACATGAGTCAGGGACTGAGAGTGACCTGCAAGCAAAGATCAAGAGGCTAGAAAACCTCTTGAACCTCCATTTCTTTCTGTGACACCTGGTACTGTTCCCTTCTGACCTGGAGATGCAGGCAGTGAGGCCCCTTGGTGGGGTGGGATAGGATACAGACAGCTGATTTTATCTAGATGCTGGCATTAGGATTTGGGGGATAAACTTTATCTCAGACATCAGCTTGAGTGCAAGATCTCTCTTTTTTTTTTTTTTTTTTTAATTACTAATTGTGTTTCCCCATTGCACTCCACACCTTCTCCTCTACTGCTGGAGAAGAAACCAAAGCCCCCAAACTGTGTCTGCTGATATAAGATTGCACTATTTTAACAGTTACAAGTCACTTGTGCTGATGAGTAGATCACATAGCATCCTTCTCCAGCTGATGTGCTGGAGGCACTAACTGACAATTCCAGAGCTTTAGCTTGTTCTGAAATGGATGGCTGTAGTGCAAGAGAGAGATCTGGATTAAAAGCAGTCGAGCTGTCTAATCTGTTCTCCCAGAAGCATTGAGTTGCTTCTGTATCTGGCTTTTAAAGCTTTTAAGCTACTTTTAAATTCCTGGTATTTTGTCACATATCAAATATGAACATACATCTGGCCATTGTGTTGGGGTCTCTCCTGGGGTTGGTGGTGTTAGTAAAGAGGAACACTAGGGTTTCCTCTGCACCTCTTGCTCCCCACTGTTCAGTTGTTAGATGCTTTGCCAGTGTTTTCGTGAACACAGTCTACAGAGCTGTTTGACTGTTCTTTTCTGTTGTCCTCACTTCAACAGCTGTCAGTTCCTGTTACACCTCTTAACCTAAATAAGAGGCTAATGCTGATTGAACTTGGTGCTGGGAAAGAAATCTCTTATCTCTTCCCCCTTTCATTCTCTTGGTGTTAAGGAGCGCTATGAGAATCCTCCATGGACTGAGCTCCTCTAGATCCCTGGAACAGAGCAGTATTTATTGAAACAAGCCTGACCTTTTTGGTATTGTTTGACACATGCAAAAAAAAACAAACCCAAAACCACCCAACCTTCTGCACTGGCAGAGGTAACCTGCAATAACTACAGATAATCATGTCCTTAAGGTGAGGTGGTTAAGGTGTGCCTACAGTACACCTGAAGTCTGCTCTTTTCCATCAGAAGGAAGAGGAGGCTCATGGACCTGCAGGTCCTGGTTGTGATGTTCTGCATCAGCCCAACAGGTTGGCTCCAAGGTGGAGTGCTGCGAGCTGAGGCATGATGAGTTTGGAGGCCTCCCATGGGTACAACAAGGGGAAGCTGCAGCCATCCCCAAAGTGGATCCTGGTGAGCTGCCAGTGGGTGCCCTGGCTTAGCAAATCCTGGTGATCCCTTCCATGTTGGGGCAACAGGGCATGCTGTGGCTTTCTTCATTAGATGTAAGATATGAAATATATACACTAAACATGCTGAAACCATGAACAATGCTGACTGGGCTCTGGATTTGTTGATGTTCAGATGCTTAAATAAAGCTGCATTAAAATCCAGGAGATCTGTTTATAAAACTGTTTTTAAGAAAAATGTAAATTTTGCCTCCCTTAGTCCATTCATTACAAAAAGTTTACACAGGGAATAATACCATTAAATCTCTTTATCTGGAAGGCAAGGTACTTCTTGTTTCTAACAGGGTTAGTGCCTTGAAACTGTGTTAGAGTTGGAGCCACTGTTGAAAGGATGGGAAAGTATTGATGTTGATGCTTCCTGGGTTGTACTTGTTCTGTTTGCACGAGCATTTTAGGATCAATAAAGAGGGCAGAAATTGCTAGGTGGGCTTAATGCTTCTTAAGTAAAGCAGAAATGGCTAGAGGCTTAGCTACAGTAATACTGTTTTCCAGTAATTTCCTGTGGTGGGTGTGAGGGCTGTTTGGATTATGAAGGAGACTTCTGTTTTTTTCCTTTTTCTGTGCCAAAAGATTGGACTGGAAAGTAATGGCTACTGAAGGGAGGCTTCAACTCTGTTTTGTCTTCAAGGTCACTGAGTAACTAAAGGGTTCACAGCAGGTGTATTTCACACTAGGCAGGGCTGAAAGGGCAAGGCACCTCAGGATTTTCACCTAGCTTCCTTCTGTATGTCTAGATCACTGTGAGTGCTTTGGCTCTTGATTCCAGGTGTGGTCTTAGTCACACAAACAAAACTTTACACAGCTAGGTTAGAAGTTTCGATAGGCAGCTTCTGAACGTGTGCTGCAGCATTTGTAGGAGCTTGCAAGCCTCCTGAACAGCCCTGTATCTCCATGCAGAGTCCACAGGACGTGTGGACCACAGGCTTTTCTGCTAAAAGTCAGAGAGCATCTCTAACTTCTGATCAAATAACAGAGCTATACTGCTGCTTGCTGAGTAGAGACTGCCCTATGCCTGAGGTCTACACAGCAATTAAAAGACAGGCCAGTATTGGATCATGCATGAAAACACTAGCTTTTTGCTGCTCTTATGATATTCTAAGCTCAATTACTTTTTTGATTGTGGCTGATGGGGTTTGAGGTAGCTTCCTGTCTGGCAAAACTGGGATGAGCACTCTGCTAACTTCTGGTATCAGAAACAAGTGGCACAATTGCACTGCCACTCTGGAAGACAGCAATATGTATTATTTCTGATCTGTGCTTCTTGGTCTTCCCTCAAATAGATAATGATTCCAGAGTATCGGTCTCATATGATGACATGGAAGAAGCTTTAAAACTTCAAGGATAGGGTCTGAACCATGAGGTCCTGAATGTGGTTACTGCTCAGGAGTTCTGCAAAACTCAACCCACAGCAGAGTGAGTCATCCCCTTCCCATACTTGTCTGGATTGCTCAGTGTCTGAGATGAGCTTACATCAACAACCCTTTCTCATTTGCTGGTATTCAGTCAGTGTATATTACATTTTTTTCCTTTAAGTTTCCATCAAACTTAAGTTTAAGGATTTTATTTCTGACACTGATCTGTATGCTCAGAAAAAGAGTTCACTTTAAGCAGACAATCAACAGTCTGGTCAGTGTCTTGTTCGCCTGACAAGCTTTTCAAAGCACTCTAGTAGTGGCAAACCAGATTATTTATTAGCTGCTAAACCATACAACAACTTGAATTAAAGCCAGTTGTTTTCTTAATAGCACTTCTGAGCTGATTGAGTTCTTGGAGCCCCTGCAGATCACAGTCACACTCATCCCATGTTAGGACTGAAGGTTAGTAAAATGGAATTCTGTCTTTCCTGCTAAACATCCCCAAAAGTAATAATTTGCAAGTAATTATTTTGAACCAGCTGAAAGGCAAGGAATACCAAACCTGTAAGTGTGTTAAATCGTGCTGTTATCTCTGAAACTATGCACTGGAATGTTAGCTGAAGTTGCTCTTTAAGATTGTTTTCTGATTTTATTCTTTGGTCCCTAGTTAATTCAGCAGCTGGAATTCATTTACTCTGCCCGTCTGAATGGTTAAATGGCTGTTACAGGTATCTTTCATGATGTGTTCTTTGGTTTTAATTGTCACTTCCTGAGAATATCCTACCTCATTTTTTATTTTATTACTGTTCATATACTCCATTTAGCTCACTTTGTTTTAATTAAACTAAGCTCCTGGTGTTCATTACCATATTAAGTGTATTAAGTGGCTTTCTGTTGCTGAACCACAGTGAGGTCCTCCTTTTTTTTTTTTGTGTAGGGTTTTTCTGTTGTTTTTTCCTCTAACAAACCATTCTAGGAATTTTGAGAACAATAACATATCCTTTGCAGAGGATGAGGTGTATGGAAAAAATTCAAATACTGATTCAACAGCTGTGACATAGTCCTTTTTTTTTCCTGCTTTCTAAAGGGACTCACATGGTTTCAGTTCTTAGGATATATATGTTACTGTTTTTGTTATCCTTCAGGGGAGGAATATAATTTCTTTTTTCTCTCATTAATAGCCCTGCCTTATCTAGAGATACATTAATGTAACTTCTCCACAGAGGCACTTGCTCCTTCAAGTGTTATTTTGTAGTAGGCTCTGCCTGGAGCCAGTTGTTCCCTCTCATTCTTTTTCTTTCAACCATGGAAAGATGTAACTTTTGCCATGACTTCTCACTGACAAACAGTAACTGTCACTGTGTGAATAGTGGACTCACCTACTCTGAAATGTTACCTAAGGTAGGGCTGTCTGAATGCTAACTAGTACAACTGTTGCTTAAATTTCACATTTCTTTTTTTGTTGCATTTTAAAAGGTGTTTTCCCCACTGTTTGGCCACATAATGGATAGTGTCATTTTTATTAAGGGTGTGCCAAAAAAGAGTGAGTTTTCTGTCCTACCTGCACTCTGACAGTGCATGAAGCAGAACTGGAACTGGAATATTGTTTGACTTGGACCTTTCTCCCTCCATCCCTCCAGCTGCAGGGGTAGGTTAAGACTTAACTGCCTCAGCACTATGAAATCCTCCAGAAATCTCATTTTGAAAGTCCCTTTTCAAAAGTAACTGAACTTGAATTGCTGGATTCAATAGCAAAGGTGAACTTTGTGAATTCTCACAAAAAAAGGCACAACTTAGGATTTCTGGAATTACCCTTCATCTCCTTTAAAGGAAGTTTATGGAACAATGGGGGAAATTTTTATAGAGGAGACTGAGTGGGAAGGGGGCTAATCAGCCTGAGTCATCTTTTACAGCTGTAATGTGCCTGTTTCAGTAAGACACTGCTCATGGCTTAAATATTGTTCACTCCCATTTTGTAAATGCATGAGCAGGGTTATGGTTTAGCATCTTGAGACCTGCAACTTGATGTAACATTTTGGAGTCATGACATTCACTTTGTCTGTGGGATTTGCTGGGCAGCTGATCAACAGCACCTCCACCTTAAGCACTGAAGGCTGCTACTGTTTTCTCTGAAAGACTTGTAAGACTGGACACTTTAACAAGAATAAAAGTTCTAATTTTTAATTTGCATTTTCCTTTTATGTCTGCTTTCTTTAAAGTTTTCTGTATGCAAAGGCACTTGGCCTTTCACTGATCTCTCTCTTTTCACAAGACACATTAATAATCCCAGCTATTGTGTAGGATTATTTGGTTGTTTGTTTCTTTACTCATCACATGAGTCCTGGTAGGTGATTATGTTCCTCTATGAATAAGTAAAAAGTAGATGTACAGCAAAAGAGGCCCTGCTCAGTGACAAGCCTGGGCTGGCTCCTGTATTTCACCATCACTTTAACAAAAGGCTGAAACAGTTGACCTTGCCAATTACAAGACTGTTGGAGCATTGTCTGCACAGTCCTGTAGAAGCTCAGTTGGGTTTTCAAAATGTGTGTTGTGCTCCTTTTCCCTAGGAAAGAGACAGGGACTGAAGTCAATGGAGAACACTGCCTGTTCCCATAGAAATAGTGTCTTCAGCCAGCTGCTGGTAACAAACTGTGTTCCCCAGCTGACTGCCTACCCCAGGCACCACTTTTTCAACTGAAAATACTGCCAGGTAGCATCTTTTATAATTGACCTGTTCGTGGTGTGTTAGAATTAGTCTGTGACTTTCAGAGACAGTTGGAGTTCCTGTGCAGCTTGTTTACTGTATAGAAATGTATTTATCTTGTGTTCTGCCTTCCCTTGCTTCCTTTATCTGAGGCTACTTGGCCACAGTGACGTTGGCCCTGCTTCAGGGACAAAATGTGAGCAGGCTGGGAAGCAGGTGAAAGGAGGTGGGCTGTGATGCTGCTTCTTGATGAGTTTTAATGAAATGCTTTGCAGGACTGAACCAAGAAAGGAGAGGACAAAATGCCCCTTGTCATCTAAGGCTCACTAGGACTGCAGCTCCTTTTGGCAAGAATTTACCAGCTTTTTGAATAGCTGAGGAACAAGAGAGAAGGTATTATGAAAGAAAACTGGTGCTTGCTGAGTTCCTGTAGGAATAATACAGTGATGGGGAAAGAGCTCCAGGATAAAGAGCTGATCTGTGTGTGTTGTAAAAAGACTTTTCATCCTGATAATTGCAAATTTTCTACATAGCTCACTGAAAAGCATGGAGTAAAGATGTAATAGAGGCAGATTGGTTTGATTCTGGTAAAATCCTCTAGCTCTCTTGCAGTAAGTTTTTCACCTTGCTAGTTTCTGAAGAAAGTGACCATCTTATTTTTACCTGTTGATGCAGTAAGGATTCCTTTGATGGGAAGCTGCTGCATTTGTGAGGCTTCTGCTAACTTGAAAGAAAGGCCTGTTAATACAGGGAAAATGAAAGTATTTAATTATGCCATTCCTTGTTTCTCCTTAAATACTCTTCTACTTGTTGCTGATCACATTGGAGATCTCAGGAGAGGTGATGAGATTTAGCTCAATCTTTTCCTCACCTGGCAGCTCCACCAGCAGCAATTCTGGTGAGAGTGCTGAGCTGCTTAAACTGACTCTGGAGAACCAGCAAGCTGGCTTGGCTCCAAATGTTCTCAATAAAAACTCTTATGGAGGAGGAAATTAGGATAATCGTGCCAGTCAAAAAAGCATTTGAATCACTTGTGATTTGTCTGCTGCAGGGTTGTCCAGGTTCCAGATATCACTCACCCCTGTACCTTTCATGGACACATAGGATAGGCTTTGGCAGCCTCCAATGGAGTTTGCTAGAAATGCAGTTTTCTTGTGGAGCTGGCAGGAGAAAATGTTGTTTAATAGTCTGCAAAAGAGCTCTCAAGAAGGGGAGGAAGGGAAGGAAAAGAGGGCCATTTCCCAGTTTTGTTCTAGTACTTTCTACCTTCCTTATTTAAACTTACTGGAAGAGAAGGTATTTACAAATATTACCTTCTTCTCTTCGACTTTTGGGGGGCATTATATGGTTTTCCTCTTGCTGAAAAGGTCTTTTTAAACCTCCAAATGGAAGCATGTCTGGAGGGGCAAAGAACTGGAGGACTCCAAAGAACAGAGACTCATGAAGGCTCCTGTAACCAGGGTGAGCTGCCTCTCCTAGTCAGTTATCTCCTGGTACTTGCTGCCCTGAGGGCTGGAAGCTGCTGTTTATGTTGCTCAAAACAATCCATAGAACAGGAAGGCTGTGGTTTGCTGTTGTGTGTGTGAACTAAAATGGGTTCTGAGGTCATCAAGTGTGTGTAAGGTGGGGAGTGGAGAAGATGACGTGCTAAATTACTGAAAAAAATGACTGGGAATGAGAAGTCCATGACATGAATGACCTGGGTAACATGGAGATGGACTGAGGAGTGGCATGGGCGTGTGTAAAAAGCTACTGGTTACACATCTTCCTAAAAACACTCCAACTCCCATCAGTGGGTGAGACTCCTTTAACAGGGAGAACTACTTGATTATTTGTTGAGTTTGGCAGCATTGCAGGTTAATAGTTTCCCCTCCACGTTTGTAGCTCAGTGATTAAACTCTCTTGCAAAGTTTAGCTTTTTAAACTACCAAATTAATATCCTCTTGTGTGCAGAGAAGCTTGAAAATAAGCTCTGAATGCTCAAAAAGAGAAAACACTGATTTCCCTTTTCAATAAAAAACAAAACCAACCTTTGACAAGGTGGGGAGGGATTTTTATCCAGAATTGATTCCCTTGCAGAGTAGAGGACTTGTGTTTTTTCAAATTGCATCTCTTCAAGATGCTTTTTGAGCTGCTAGCAAATCTATTTGGAAGTAAACACCTTCCCATGAGCTTTTCCCACCACTTTGTTTTGTGGGGTGGTAGGCTGGGTGTTTTTTTGGCTGGGTGAGTGATGCCTAAAGCCACCCCCATGATGTTATTTCTTCGCCGAGTGCTGCCGAGAGGATGTTTTCAGTATTTCCCGCAGCAGCCAAGCACATTTTTCTTTGGAGGGGAAGGATCTTTCCCCAGGGATTCCCGAGGGATGGGCAGGATGTGCTGGCAGGGAGCGCCACCGCCGGGCTGCTCTTTGTGCCTCTTTCTTCTGCCTTTCAGGTCGAGCTTCTGCATTTTTCTCCCTCTGGTTTGTACTTTGGTTTCACCTGTTTGCATGCCCATCTAGAGCTGCAGGACAGCAAACTGAGATAGTGGGGGTGTGCCTTGCCAAAGAGCAGCTGAGAGTGGAAATAAGATATATTCTCTATGAATTTTACCAAGCCCTTAGTGAAAGCTCTTCAGCCTCATCACCCTTCAGGCTGATGTTTGCCATGTCCTGGGGTGCTGAATCCCTTTCAGGTGCTGAAGCACTGGCAGGACCCACTGGCTGAGCAAAAAAGGGCTCTGTGGGAGCCCGAATCACCACTTTAAATTTGTTTCAAAACTTTTAGATCTTTTCACCCCTCTTGTATCTTGTTTTACCCCCCCTTATCTTGTTTTACCACTGTGTTTACCAGCTTAACCGCTCTAGTGTGGGTTTGTTTTTTTTAATCTGGGTTATTAATTAAACAGCGATTCCTCCTTGGAGTTAAGTGAATCAAGTTTGTCATCACACATGAGCAGAACGTTTTTGTGCACTTCAAGCTAGCAGCAAGAGCTAAAGCAAAAGCTCTGCAGCCCCCAATGTCCCCACCAGGGACAAATGGCCAGAGATGGGGCCAATATTCCTCAAGCAGCAGCTCCGTTGGTGGCGGAACAGCCCGGCTGCCCAGGGCTGGTTGTTGTCACATGCTGGGAAAAGATCACGTGGAGAGGCTGGGAGGAACAGCCTGGGCTGCATCCTGGTGGTGCTGGTGGGATCCTGGCAGCTTTTGCCTCTGATGGCGTTGGTAACCCAGGATCAGATCCAAAAGGTAAGGAGCTGCACCCTGGGAAGGAGCGTGTCCGTAGTGCAGGCAGGTGATGATAATTGTAAGATGTGATCATAGGTAGTTAACCCATGATCAGGTCTAGCAAGGATTTGCTTTGCAAACACTATATTCTCAGCTACTCATATTGCATTAATTTTGAGGGTTGTAAGGTCCCTGTTGAGACAGGCTCTTCCAGAGAGCAGCTTGTCCCACAGGGCTCCTGGAGGAATTTCTCTCAGGCTCTTCTGCCTTGCAGCTGTGAACTCAGAGCCTGCCTGTCCAAGGATAATCTCCAGGGTGTTCTATATAAAGAAACAGTTGAGCCAGCAGAGTTTACTGCATTTTGTAAGGAATCATGTAATCAACCATGAGAAATTGCCCAGGGATTTTTCCCTTAGAGAAAACAATGTTTTCCAGCTTGTAAAGGAGTCTCATTCTTATGTGGCACACAGGTGTGACTGCTCTGCCTCTGTTCGCAGACTTTGTCATTTCATAGTTGCTGGTTGCACGGCTTAGATAAGATATCCTTAAGCCACAGAGGCTCTAGTGATAATATCTGCTGCTTTGTGGACTGAAGGGTTGAGATATGTTGTTCTGAACTGTATGGAATCTGGTTAATGAACTATCTTTTTTACAATAGAAAGCAGAGCTGAAATAAATAATGAAGAGCCAGCCTCAGAGCTGGAGTTGAGGTGCTTTTCACGCTGAGTTGAGGCAACGAAGGGCCAGAGCTGTTCTCTTGCTTTGCGCTGCTTCCCCTGAGAGCTCAAGAGCAGAGCAGTCATCCCCTCTCTTACAGTTCTACCAGGATGGCTTCCTTGTCCTAGAGCATTTTTTCACCCTGGAGGAGTGTGACAGCATGAGGCAGCAGATTCAGAGGATCGTAGCGGAGATGGAGGTGCCGCCGCACTGCCGCACCCAGTTCTCCACCAGGGAGGAGGAGCAGCTCCAGGCACAGGTACTGAGAAGGGCAGGGCTGTTCCCATTGGAGGGAAAAGGCAAACAGCTCCTCGGGATCCACTCCGGGGGAGCAGGGCTCTGTCTTCTGAACGTAACACTGAAAGGTGTCTGCTGTCCAGCTCCCTGCAGATGTTTGGTGGTGGCCTTAGCGAGAGGATGTGTGGGACTCTGTCCTGCTTTCAGCCCCCACACCTGCCACCCTGCAGGTAGCTCTCACAGATCACACTGTACTTGTTCTGCAGGCAGAAAATAGGTTATTTTCCATGCAGCCAGCAAAAGAAAAGCCTCTATGTGAGAGGTTCTTATCAAAGTCCTGTTCAAGGGGCATTCTAGGACACTGGGTGTTGTGGAAAGCCTTGTTATGAGTGATGTCTGTTGGCTCTGTTTTGTTTATGCTGCGGCTTGATGGGAAAAAGATGCAGGTGAGTAATAATGCTTTGATTGAAGGTTCATTTATATTTTTACAAGGATACCATCTTTACTGAACTCTTATCCCTGGCAGGGTAGCTCGGATTATTTCCTAACCAGTGGAGACAAGATTAGATTCTTCTTTGAGAAAGGTGTTTTGGATGAGAAAGGTGAGCTCTGGCCTGAGTTAGCCATAGAGAGGGGAGAGGAGAAGGCTGAGGGCTTAAAGGCCATTTTCCAGCTTTAGGGATGTTTCCTGCTTTGCAAACAATGTTAAATTCTGGTTTTGTTTCATAGGTAACTTTCTAGTTCCAAAGGAGAAATCCATCAGCAAGATTGGCCACGGTATGTTTAAAGGATGGGGTTTTGAGAGGGATGGACCAAAGGGGAGTGTTTTTCAGATGTGAGGATTTCTCCAGACCTACTCACTGTAAATAAACTTGGCCATCTGAGTTGAAATGTTCCAGGGCAGAGAATGACTTCTCTCCTCTCCTCTTGCTTCTCTGTGCCTCCTGGCTTTCTGCATTAAATTCTTTGACTTGATTTCTGCACACCAGCCTGTTTTTTCCCCACATTGCTCTGTCTCTGCAATTCTCTCTGTGCTGCCTCTCACTCTCTCCTGTCAAAGCACTTAAAAATCTTCTGTTACAATGCTTTTCAAAAAAATCTTCTAGGATGTTTTTCAGCTCTGCATAGCTCTGAGGCACTGACATGGGAAAGTTTGGACTTCAGCCCTTGTCTCTTTTGTGTAAGACTGCTCTGACAAATTTACCACCTAAGACTGGTCACATTCAGTACAGATCAAACTGTGTCTTCTCTGTCCTGTGCAGTGGTGGGTTGCCAACACCAAATCTCCCTCCCTGGATGTCACCAACACCTTTTCTCTTCCCTTACTGCTTTGGGTTTGACCTGTTTCCTCTCTCCCAGCACATTTTGTTCCCTTTTATTTTCAAACAATACAAGGAAAATGAGAGCAGGTTTTGCTGTATCTCCAAACACATGAACTTTGTTTAGATTAAACTTCACTGAACTTGGAAACCCAGTACTGAGAGTTCTCAGTTCTTTGGTTTTCTCAGAAAAACACTCTCCCCTTTCCAGCCCCCCCCTGCCATTCTGTTACTACAGTTCAGCTTTTCCCTGGAGGAAGTGAAAACAACCAGAGATGCCTGCTGAGTCAGCAACTTAACAATTCAAAAGGCTTCTCTAGACAATTATTTTTTGTAATTACTCCTTTTGGTCAAGTCTTGTCTCATCCTTTGCTCAGGAGCAGCCCCTGCTGGACTCGGTCCTGTGTCCTTGTGGCAAGTTTGATCACTATGGGATGGATGCACAATTCCAGTTTGGTCAGAGCTGGGCTGTAGCAAGCACCTGTGCACAAAGGGCTGTGACCCACAGGCTGTGGGCCTCTGTGAAGGGCACCAAGCTAACTAATTTTTGCAGTAATTATTTTTGTAGCAAGTTGTCAGAGCTGTGTGTTTTTAAAGGGTGAATTCAGCAATCAGCCTCAGAGTCATGTGCAGTGGTTGTCATGTCAGCATGTGCACAGTACAATACTTAATCACAGAATACTCAATTTTTATTCACTCTGTTATTCACTGATTTTTATATAGCTGTGGCTTGTGGCCAGTGAGTGATTAGATCTTTGGTCTGTTAGTACAAATTGTACAAATCTACAACTTCTGTGTCACCTTAGGTGTGACAAGCCATGTGTATCCACCCTCAGGAGGGGTGAAAGTTTCTGTTGCAGTTTATCTTCCTTGATTGTCCCTCTGCAGCCCGTTGCCTGGTGCTGCCAAGCTCCCTTCTGGTAATGAAGACTTCAGTCTAAGCTTCTTCTTTCCCCTTAGCTTTACATGCTTATGATCCTGTCTTCAAGCAAATCACCCATTCCTCCAAGGTGCAGGTGAGCTGTTACTGTTTCCTAGAATAGCCTGGAAAAAAAATAATGGAGTAGTTAATGGATATATTCTAGACTCTTAAGTACAATAATTTTGTTCTTAAAAGGAAATTTAAATCTCTTCAATGAATGATGCTTTGTAGTGTGCACAAACCAGCTAACAAATGTTGGCAAGGTTGGTTTTCTTTCTTACAGGAATTGGGAAGAAAACTGGGCCTTGAGAGACCAGTAGTTGTGCAAAGCATGTATATCTTCAAGGTACAGTAATTCAAGTTGCCTTGCCACTCAAGAAATAAGACCCCCTTAGGTGGGAAACTGACTCTCTTCTCTTCACACATCCCCTTTCTTTCCTTGCAGCAACCTGGCATTGGTGGTGAAGGTGAGACTCAGATTATCTTTGTATCACACTGCAGGTAATACTTAGCAAAAGAATATTACCAGGAAAAAGGCTCAGAGTCAGACTTAAGTCTGTGAGTTTTGTGGTCCAAACCTTCTTAAAATTATTAAAAAGCATCCATGCTTTCCAGAAATATTTCCACATCAGGTGCAACTTGACCAAAGAGCTATTCTGATATTTGCAGAATGTGAGGTGATATTTTTATGTAGGATTTAATGTGTGTGACAGCAGGGAAGGGCAGGTCAGGGAGAACAAGCCTGCTGTCCTTCTGGCAGTACTGAGCTCCTCAGGCACTGAAAGACCCTGAGGACCCTCTCTCTCCTTTCAGTGACCCCACATCAGGATGCCACCTTCCTGCACACTGAGCCACTGGGCAGGATCCTGGGGTTCTGGATTGCCTTGGAAGATGCCACCCTGGAGAATGGCTGCTTGTGGTTCATCCCTGGCTCTCACACCAGTAAGAGTTGGGGTGTTCCAGTATGTGCTGGGACACATGTCATCCCCTTGTGTAAGGGTGGAGAGTAACACAGGCTGTGTTAGGTTCTCTGCATCACACAGTGCCTGCAGAAGCTGCTGCCCTTGTTTGTCCAAAGGACAACTTTATTTACTACAAAGATCTCCTCCTGTGCTGTTGTCAAAGCCACAATCACATTTTTCAGCAGGTTATGAACTGCTTCACTTTGCTCTTGGCCACTAGTCTAGATAAGTCTAATAGAACAGTGTTTTTTAAATTAAAAAAACAACAGGTGCTGTATGTGACTGACACTGTTCAGTTTTAAATTGAAAGCCTAGAAACAAAGAATCTGGGGCCCTGGGCAAAGGAAGCAGAATCCTTCTGAATTTTTATTTAATCCAGAATTTGTTAAGGTGAGACCCATTAAAACTGCTCCTGGATCCTTTTATTTGCACTTCAGTATTATTTCAGAAGCTTCTTTTGCAAATTCAGACTCTGCCTTGCCTGGCAACTGGGGTTTAAGACTTTAATGAAAAAAGAAGTTTTTAAGCCACTGGGTCCTTTCTCCCTGTAGTGAAGCAGGTCCCTGCTGTGTGTTGATGCTCCTTCCACAGCTTTGACTGTAGCCTTGAAGATGTTCAACAGGTCTGATCTGGACTGCAAAGAGTAATAATCCTTCATTTGCCTTCCAGAGTAAGAGTACACTTCCCACCCTTCTCTCCCAGTTCTGCTTCCTTTCTGGGTTGCATCCCCTTCCCAAAGATCCCCCTTTGTTACTTGTTTTTCCTAGCCAATAAAATGTTTATTCCTGGCAGGCCTATGTAGGGGGACTAAAAATCCTCTCACACACCACTGTGAAATATTGTCCTGAATCTCAGTAAATGAGGAAAGACTCCAAGTCTATACACAGATCACTTGGACACCACTGAGGCTGTTGGAGAACAGTCTGTTTCCCAGGGGAACTTAGGGACAAAACCAGATCAGTGCAGGCTCATGCCATGGCTGTGGGGACCAGTGCTCTGTGTGTAACCACTGCTGGGTCACCAGCCCAGTGTTCTCTTTTCCAGTGCCTCCAGGGCACACTAGTCATCTTTAAGCTGTTGCTCACCTAAGTGTTGACTCAGTGTCATCATAGAGCTTTTAAGATTTTAAGGCACTAATCCCTCATAAATCCTGGAGTCAGCTGCACTCTGGTTGCAGTTTATTCTCTTATAGAAAGGAGAAGTGGAGCAAAAGTTGGCTTTGCATAAGTATAGGACTGTTTGTGTTCATGAAGGGCTATGTTGCAATACACAGAGCCAGAAAGGCAAACAGAAGGCAGTTGTTGATCAGTTTGACACAGCTGGAAAATCCTATTTGATTAATGAAAAAAAACCTCATCCAAATTCCTAAGGAAAAAAAATTGGAATGTAGTGTAACAATGAAATGCCTGTTGTTGCCCAGAGAAATGACAGATATTGCTCCTCTCCTGTGCAGAATGTAGCTGCCTGTTCAATTTCCATGTGTGTTTGCTTATTTTCAGGTGGAATTAACAGGAGAATGGTCCGTGCAGCTTCAGGGGCCTCAACATGTGTAGAGTTTGTAGGGTCAGAGCCAGCCTATGAGGACAGCCAGTTCATTCCTCTGCCTATAAGTAAAGGTACAAACCACCCCCACAAGGTCTGCTCAGCAGCTCAAGAAAAACGAGAGAGATAAAACAGTATTTTAAGATTTGCAACTTCCTTTGTTTTGCAGCACTCACAATTTGAAAAAAACAACCCACAACAAGCCAGGCTTCATCCTGGCTCAAACCAGGACACAAACAAACCAAAGGCTGCTTGGGTGTTTCTTTCCAACAGGTGGACTCATTCTGATCCATGGGGAAGTTGTCCACAAGAGTGAACTGAACAGCTCGGAGTCTTCTCGCCACGCGTTCACCTTCCACGTGATGGAAGCCAAAGGCACCAGCTGGAACAAAGAGAACTGGTAAGGTCACCATTCTAACAAGCAGCTGAGGAGCCTTTGCAGTGCCATGGCCTGGACAAGCTTTTATTGGTGGTTTTGCATGTTGTGGTTTCTGTTGGTAGTACTAAGAGAGTTGATTTCCTACCCCTAGAACTGGAACAGCCCCTGAGGTTTTGTTTTTACCTTTTCCTTGCTTTCTAGGCTCCAGCCAACTCCTGAACTGCCTTTTCCATCACTCTATACTTGCAGTTAGTGATTGGCTTCTGGAGTCAGTTGATTGATACCACTTCCTGGTTGTTTCTTCATCTTCCCTTTAAATACAACTTTCACTAAATCAGCTTTCAAGATTAATTCATCCTCTGCCCAGAACAAGGACCCTTAACACATCTGCCTTAGACAGGAACTTCTACTGCAGCATCAGCCCTACTGAGAATAGCCATCCAGTCCTTTTGGTAAGGAAACTTCTTCAGTCTTAAAAACAGAGCATTAAAAACCATTGCACCTTGACTGGGACCAGTGAAGAAGTATTTCTTCTTGCAGATACTCAGCATTTTCTTCTCCTAAAGTCAAGAGCTTGTCTGGTGCTTTTCTTGGCTCTGTTGATCCCAGCACTGTAGGTGAACATGTCATGGGTCACCATCCTATTGTTTGGATCATAGTTATTAAAAACAGAATCATACAATGGTTTGGGTTGGAATTTTGGGCACAATGAAGCAGGAAGGTACTTTTATAATCAATCTTCTAAGTATTTCTAGCAATCTGTAGCTGATTGTTTGATATCTAGGTGTGTTGATTAAAAATATTGCAGTTGTTTTCATAATTTCAACATGAATCTAAAATCCCCCCAGTTAAACTCCTCACATTTAAATAATAATAATAATAATAATAAAAACAAACCAGAAATTCTTATTTTAAACTCTCTCATCTTTTCTTGGAGGAAGACACCGTGTGACCTTCTCCCAACAGGTGGGGCCAGTGCCAAGTTGCCCAATAACAGGTTTGAACTCAGTGTGCATAGAACAGTTAAAAGCCCCAAAACCCCAACAAAAGCAAACAAACTTAGAGCAAGATGAAACATAAGGAATGTTAACAAACATGGGCTACATCCAAGGCAAGTTCAAACCTGCATCCTAAACCAAACAGAAGTTGTGTGGGTATAATTTCACTGGCACAGGTTACCCTGAGATATGAGACAGGGTTCATTAATGCACTAATTACATTATAGTAACCTTAAGACTGCTCAGAGTCCTGGCAGAGTGAGCCCCAGTTCTTTCTGACTCATCCCTTTCAAGAGGATACTGGCATTTGTTTGATGTGAAACAGTCAAATTTGGTTTCTTTGTGGGAAATTTCCTCTCAGCCCTTTGGGCTTTGCTGGGCAGTTCAGGACAGTAAAGAATTCATCCCAGGGGGATGATCAGGTGGCTTGTATTAGGAATTTTGGAAGCTGGGTGATTGCAACAGCAGTAACCTTGAGGTCAGAGTTTCTGCAGGTACAGCTGCTGCCCTCCCCTGCTTTCCTACAGTTTGAAAGCTGTGAGCAGGGTGGAGGGAAAATTGCTTTTAACTCTGATACTAATTTAGGATGCTAATGGTGAAGGCTGAGGCTTGTGATGGTTTCTCTGTACTTTTCCATTAGAAGAATCAATAATTTAGAATAGCACCTAATAATTTAGAATAGCACCTCCCACCTGAGGAGTGGGAGTCTGTCCTCTGATTATATGAACCACTACCTGCAATGTACAAAACCATCCAAGTGCATAAATAAAAGCAAGAAGCTGAATTGGCTTTGCAGGATTTCCTCTTAAATGTGAAGGCAACTCAGTCTAGCACAATTACAGAGCTTGGTTTCCTACAAAGAGTATCTGGCAACTTATTGTGTTAACCAAAACCAACTCTGGCCAATCTTGCCATCTTCAGGAAAAGCAGTATCAACTCCCAGGACCCCTTCCCAAGCAGGGGGTAAATTGGGCAATGCTGCCTTTCAGCTACTCACTTCCTGGCTTGTTGCAGGGACAACACAATATTAGATCCTGGGACCATTTCCTGGCTGGGTCTGCTGGCCCAGAGCACCAGATTCATTCCACCCCAGACTTATTCTCACTCCTAAGACACAGTCTCAGAGCTAGGAATGCAGGATGGTAGTGTGAGGTATCTTGGGCTTGCGCAACACTGTTCCAAAAAGTGAATAAAAAGTGTCAGAAGTTGTAACTTCATGCTGCAAACAAGAATCCTGGAATGCAGATCTTCTGCTTGGACACTTCTCAGGGAAGAGGCAGGGAGGGGATGTGCTGATGTGTTTTGTTCTAATGGCCAATTGGCAAACTGGCAAAAAGAGATTGTCAGTACAGAAGGGTTTTAATATGTAAAAATTAGGTGGGTTTTTTTTGCCACAAAATGGTAGTTATCATTTTAATTAGATGAGCAGAATTAAATACTCAATTTGTTGATAGAAACATTTTTAAAAATCAACACATTGCTGAAAAGAAATGGAAAAAGTAGAAAACTGGAATAGTGTTAGAGAAGTTTATTTACTTGAACAGATTTTCTGCTTTCATTATTAATGTGTTCATAGTTTTTCATGTGTCTTTGCCCAGACTTTCCCCCTCTATTAAATATTACTCCAAATAAATTTAGAGATTAAAATCTGGAAGATAAAAAACTTCTCTTGTTGCATAAAACTCCAGGGTTAAAACTGCAACCTTCTTGTAAGTCCTGTTTGGAATAAACAGTCTCTTACATTCCCAAACCTTCTGTACCAGCCCTGGATAAACTTCATGGAACCACAGAATGGTGAAGATTGGAAGGGACCCTAAAGATCATCAGGTTCCAACCCACTGCATGGGCAGTGAAACCCCCCACCAGCCCAGGTTGCTCTAAGCCCCAACCAACCTGCCCTTCAACACTTCCAGGGATGGGGCAGCCACAACCTCCTTGGGCAACCTGGTTCCAGTGCCTTCCTACCCTCGTGGTGAATAATTTATTCCTAATACCTAACCTAAATCTCCCCTCTCTCAGTTTAAAACCATTAGCTCTACAGCTCCTGAAGTCTGAAGTTGTGTTCAAAGTGCCAAGCATGAGTACAGCTCTGGGTGACAGTGACTGGATATGCTGGGACACTGGAACTCCCTGGGTGCAGGTGGCGACCACCCTCATTATAAAACATGCTTTAAATGGTGATTCCACAGAAAAAAGGGTTCCCATTTTTAATAATACAAGACAGCAGGGCTCAGTATAGTGAGACAAGTTTTGGTTCTGATGCAATACAGAGGTGGCAACATCTAAGAGGTTTGTTCTGTTCTCTCTGACTTACCTTTTCTTCCTCTACCTCTGAGCACCCAGAAGAGACTTAAAAAATAGTATTTGTGTTTAATAATTTACAAGTCGTGCCTGGGCTCCTGAGAGAACAGAAATCAGCAGTTTTAAATGGGGGAGAAAACAAGAACAAAACCAAACCCTTATTTTAAATAGGTCTTTTTCCTTTGTTTTTACCTGCTGCACCACAAGCAGAGCTCAGATCGGCTCTGAGCTCTCATTACAGTGCATATTTTGTTACCACTTTTCTCTAGAAATGGAGGAGACCTCTGTTCCTGAAAGTGCTTCTATACCATAAACATTATCTGGAGGTAGAGGGGCAGCAGCAGGTTATCAATTTGGGTTGTATAAGCTTCCAAAAGAGACACTAAGGTCACAGATGCCAGAATCCAGGCGTAGCTGGAGTTCAGATTGACACTGCTGTCGAAGATCAGGATAAGAGCCACAGCAATGATCTGAGCAAAAATAGCTGTCATTGTCCCTTCAAAAGTCTTCTTTGTTCCTGGCCATTTGATTTCTCCCATTGTGCTGCCACAAACAGAGGCAATGGTGTCTCCTACCCCTACTGCCAGCACCCCAGAGTAGGGGACCAGTGCTCCTGCCCCAGGCAAGGTACCTTTAGGAGCACAAGATCTGGGGAACAACCAGATTGGGAGGGACATACCGAGGAGGAGATAAATATGAGTCAGAATTAGAGGTCCACTGTCCCTTTCATCCAAGAAGAGAGACAGGAGTTGCCTAAGGGTTTGGCCAAATGGTTTGATCCTGAAGTACCTGATGTACTCCAAGAAGATGAAGACTGCCAGGCACAGCACTGCAGCCACGTGGAGGAGCTGCCGGTCGTAGATCAGCCCAGGAACATAAGTAGCTACAACAATGAAATGGAAATACTTCCTGGTGACTGTCGAGGCCTGGTGCTTCTTGCATTCAGATGATCTCTTAGCATTCTGGTAGAAAACTACACCACATGCTGAAGCAGCCAAAAAGGTCCAATACACGAGGAGGTAAACCCTTGTCTGTGTCTGAAAGAGAAACTGGAGTAGCCAGAACAAAGGGTTCCTCTGGATCAGGCGGTACAGCCAAGGCATGATGACCCCTAAGCCCAGCACTGCTGTCATCATGTGGAAAAACAAGGAGGAGACCCACGTGCCTGAATCCATGAAAACGAAGAGCACGGTGAAAAAAAGCCCCAGAAGAACAACTCCAACAACTGCTACCAGCAGGAAAAAGTCTATGGGGTCCCCTCTGCCTTCAACTACATTCAGGGAGCGTTTAATGAGCTGATTGAGAACAAAACTGACACCTCCCAGCACCAGCAGCGCTTCTCCCGGGGTGAAACACCGGGGCAGCAAGTACAGCAGAATCATACTGAGGTAGACAAAGATGAGCAGCACTTCTAGGACCTCTATCACTTCTGACACAGTCAAAGAGTGCTTCATGGTGTAGATGACAACACTGCCAGCAACACCAGTGAGGATGCAGGTGTTGGTTGGCATGGGCTTTGTGATGCCAACTGCCAGCACCGACAGGAAGAGAGCGACCAGCATACAGCAGAATCATACTGAGGTAGACAAAGATGAGCAGCACTTCTAGGACCTCTATCACTTCTGACACAGTCAAAGAGTGCTTCATGGTGTAGATGACAACACTGCCAGCAACACCAGTGAGGATGCAGGTGTTGGTTGGCATGGGCTTTGTGATGCCAACTGCCAGCACCGACAGGAAGAGAGCGACCAGCACCCCGGCGCCCGCCACGACGATGCCGAAGCGCTCGAAGTAGACGATGCCAGCAGCCCTGCATCTCTCCTTCATGGCTATCCCCAGCAAGGGGATGACCATGCTGGCTGGAAGGAGGCCACTGTTGGCTCCTGCACGGAACTGGAAGACCGCCCCCCCCAGCTGGAGGAGGTGGTCCCATTTGAACTGGACGTAGAAGGCCTGGATGGCGAGGGCGGTGGCGCACCAGGAGTAGCGGTCCCAGACCTTCCCGTGCACCAGGAGGACGATGAGGAACACGATCAGGGATTCCACCAGCACTGGTTTGCTTAACATGGTTCCAGTCTGATGTAGCTAAAGCTTCCCAAGTCTTTCTTTGGGAGGCCCAGTGTGCTCAGCAGTCGTCCAGCAGGAAGAATTCCCTTCCATGCTACTGCAGCTCCTGTTAAAAAAGAAAAGAAACCAGCAAACAGTGAAAGCAGCTCCCAAAGCTCCTACGCAGCTGGGTTGTTCTTCAGCTCAGGTTGAGTGGGTACTTGCAAATTGTTAAAGTCAACACAGCTGAATTTAAAAAACAACAAACAAACCAGTGAAGTAAAGGTAAGTAAACCATGTAGGATCATAGAATGGTTTAGGTGGGAAGGGACCTTAAAGATTATCCAGTCCCACCCCTGCATGGGCAGGGACACCTCCCACCAGCCCAGGTTGCTCCAAGCCCCATCCAACCTGCCTTCTTATATCTACATCAGCTCCCTCATGGAAGGCTAGAAGTTTATTTTAAGTTCTGGTTTGGGTTTACCTTCTAGTTTTGAATCCTGTCACCAAACAATACAGCTGATAGAGAGCTCAGTAGTAACACTACTGGGTAACTACTGAAGTTTGTACTCCCTTGGGCTGTAAATAACTAAACTCTGGAGGGTTTAGTTATAAATAACTTTGTACTAAAACCTCTTAATTATTAATAGACTGCTTTTTGGCCTCCTTATTCCTGTAGCCTGAAATACTTGATTGCCAAACAACTTCATGACATTTACTGTAATCTTTTTACCATATGAAAAGAAACAGGAGCAGGATTAGTCAGAGAAGTGGCACAGGTGCTATCTCTGCCCACTAATGGCTTTGAGGTCCCACTCCTTGTTGTTTCTGGGCAGAGGGGGAAGCTTAAGCCTTGTTTGAGAAGAGAAAGGGTGAATATCACACGGTAGCCAAAGACTTCCTGTTCAGTCTGGCAACTTGAAGGTTGCACCCCAGCTCTTGCATCACTGAGGGCAGAGAACAGTTTCCCTCAGCAGGCAGCCTGCCCGCCGGGCTGTGACACAAGAAGGAATTTCACCCTCTGAAACTCTGGTGTCTGTTCTAATCGTATCAATCGTTTTGGCTGGAAAAGACCTTTAAGATCATCAACTCCAGCCGTTAATGCAGCAGCTGTGAAAGCCGCCGACCTGTGAATCTGCAACCTGATGTATTTCAGTGGGGAATCACTTCATTTCCTGGTCCCTGCTGCTCTTCCCGCCTTCTCCCAGGTAAGGGGAAGCCCCTCAGCAGGGGGGCCCGTTTCGGGCTCCGCATCTCGGCTGCTCTGGGTGGGGGAGCTTCCCGCCTCCCCTTAGCTCTCGCCCCCGCTGCAGCACCT